AGGATGCAAACGACAAAGTTAGTCCTACAGTCACAAGTGGGAGGGGATGGGTAATAAGGAGTGATGAGAAGATTCATAGTAATAGTAGTGCAGACTTTGTAAATAGTTGGATAGTGTTGAGGGAATCCAGCTAGGACTTCCTTTCAAGGTAGGTCATATTTTTGGGGAAATAGGATATTATTTTTCAACCTAGGCTGGCAAATAATTTTGATTCCTGAACCCCTGTGGAGGGTTTTGAGGGAGATCGAAGGGTCCTAGGACCATACTTTTGGATGCCCGGATCCTGCGCTAAGGGAGGGGGGGGTCAGGCTAGATGTCCTCTGAGCACCACTGATTCCAAAGCTCCTCCTTTCTTAACCACCTTGGTTCTTCTTCTTCTTTTAATTCAGAGAGGCCTCTTCAGCTGGTCCTCACGCCCAGAGATCTGTGTCTGGGATTTGTGGCGTTGGCTTCTTGGGCTGTGAAAACCTCCGACCTCCACTCTCCGGATGCTTGGAAGATTGGTAATGCTTCCCAGGGCTCCTGTGTGGGGAGAAATGAGATTTGGGGTGGGGGGTGGGAGGGCCAAAGCTGAAAAGATTACCCAGGAATGCTGACCAACTCGTTCCCCTTGTCTGAAATGAGGCAGGAAGAGAGGCGCTTTTGATTTTCTCACCCTAATTCATGCTCTCTCTTAACTTCCTTATCTTTTCTTTATTCCATTTTTCTTTTTCAAAGCAACATTTTGCGTGTTTCAAACCAGCAGCAGAGAGGGAGGCCTGTTTCTCCCTTTAGATCTTAAAAGAAAGTTTATTTTTAAAGAATGTAAGAACATAACTCCTAGGCCTGCCCACCCACTCCCATTTCTCCCATTCCTTCCTACTTTTTGAGAAAGAAGCAAATTTAGAGAGGCAATTCATACAAAGAGAAAATGGTCTTTCCTTTCCTTTCTTCCATTCATTTCCTCCTCCTCTCTCTCTTTTCTTCCTTTCCTTTCTTCTTCCTTTCCTTTCCTCCTCTCTCTTTTCTTCCTTTCCTTTCCTCCTCTCTTTTCTTCCTTTCCTTTCCTCCTCTTTCTTTTCTTCCTTTCCTTTCCTCCTCTTTCTTTTCTTCCTTTTCTTT